AACTAGTCAACGGAACAGCTCAAAGTCCACCATTCACTGAGGTCCAGTCTAGGCGCATTCAACTCTGAGGCTCAGCATAACTCCCACGCCGTAAATACCACGAGCCATTGCATCAGGATCACCAGGCACTCGAAGAGTAAAGTGCGAAAAACCTGAGTTTGTCCCGATTGGTTTGAAATGAGTGACCGAGCTGAGTTCTCACGTCCGTGCTTCGTAGACACAACATACATCGGTCGATAAAGAAACTGTAAGCAAGAGCTAGCTGTTGGTCAATTTAACACAGATTACGGACATTGAAATCACCAGTGTGGAACAGAGCCCCGGAGTAGGATAACGGTTTATTTTGATTTATTTTATTTGACGGAAGCTTAGATACGGAGCGACCGTTACGTGATTGACCGCTAATTGAGTCAGAAGGACTTGAGTGGTGGACGTGTGTAGGGGAATCCGCTAACGAAGACGTATAAGGATGAATGGCACCTCCGAGTCTCACAAGTTGAAGAAGAGCTTTGGTTGAGATACCTTGAGGCACTTTGAACCTTTGAATAGGAATTTTGACCCACATAGTCGCAAGAGGATTTAGTTTTTTTCAGAGACCCTTCCCCCAGTCTCTGTCTCAAAAGTCTGAACCACGCTGACCATAAACAGTAAGGTTTTCGTTAGAGTCCCTTCCAAGGGCCAATACCCAATAGTCTGGCCTGATTAGCTGCTGCGGGTTGGCCTGACCTGAGGATGAAGAGAGTAAGACATTTCTGTCTCAGCTCTAATGAGGCTGCACACAACGAGTGCCTTCCGAGTAGCACTGGATTTTCGTTTTAAAAATATTGCGACCGCACTGAATAACGCGCCGGCGGTCACGACCAACTGCTGGGCAATCAGTGTATGGTTTTAGGACCGAGCTTTTCTAACCAGTCCTCCCTGGGATGGAGTGAAGGGGAGGAAGGCACAATCGTTGCCTCCATAAATTGTAGATGCTGGTCGCATGAATGAAACCCGTTACTGTCTTCATATTCCTGACGCAAAGAACAGTAGGGCCGCCTCGTAATACGACAACCCGCTGTACGGGGACTCGCTGTCCTTTGTCGGGCTGCTCCCCATTGGACTTCCTGGTATGGTTGAACCTTAGAGAATTGAGTTCCAGCCAGCGCAGCCCGGAGGATCACTGCAGTACTGAAGCCTGAACACCATGCCAGGGTAACGGCTTTAGGTCGGGTGAACCGCATCCTGGAAGACGAGTCGCACCTACAGCACCCAAATATTTCGTACTCCTTTGTATATTCCTCTGGGAGTTTGACTACTCTGCTTACATCACTCTGAATTGAGTACGAAGAACAGCACTTTTCAGCAAACATGACCGGATTACCGCATATTCTTGTACTTGTTACATTCTTCCGTTAAAGTTTCCGTTACACAACCAAGCACCAGTCTACTAGTTACCTCGTTGGTGGATGTGCTTGCACTAGTCTACGAGCCATGGTTGTAGACATGAAGATATCTGATTTCAGCTGCTCGCAGAGGCAAAATCTCCGCCGTACAGCGTCCGACATTTATGGTGCCAACATGGTCCCAGCTTGACTCAAGGATAGAGTGGCCGAGAGGGAGGCGGCCACTGCGTGCAGATCTTCGAAAATTTTCATAAATGGAACTACTCACAAGGCTGCTGAAAACTCTTCGACAGCTCACGACCGGTTTCGCCCTTCTTGGGGCTCATCAGGTAGGCGCAGTCCCCGAGTTTCCGTCAGCCTTATGTTCTACTTGAACCCAAATTGGACTGTTTTCGAGAAATACACTCATTTGAAAATCAATTTGATTTTCACGAGTGACTCAACGGAATCTCTCCCTAAGTTGTAGAATATCTTCGGAAACTGTTTGACCATCGGTGCCTATGAAGTATTTCATGGGTCTGGTGGGGACATCCGATTAACAATACTGAGGTAAACTAGATGGTTTTCGGAAGGGTTTACTCTTTCTCGATAGATCGGCTGGTCACACTCCGCAGGTTGCGCTGGTTAGACCATGCGTTTCGTATGTCAGAGGACCGTTTACCTCGTAGAGTTCTCTTTGCCCTGATGGCAGATGTCTAGATATGTCAGATACAGACGGTCCAGTGGTGGTTCTCCTATCACCTGGTGACGAAGCAAGAAAGCCCTTACCAGCCAACTTAGTTGCGCAGGTAAGTGCCGGAATAAGACCAACGAGTGGTAAGTGACCCTTACAGGCATGGTTGTGTCATGCAGCCAGTGGTGGTCTCGCATCAAAGCTATCACCCTCGCTGCTTATTTCCATCCATGCCAGCGGACACAGAACCATTCGAAGTCAACGAACTGATTGGGTCATTACCTCCAATGTGTGGCTCACATCAGCAAGCACGACCCGAACCTTAGAAGTTCGTGCATTGGTTTGATCTGACACTATACTTAGGACTTCCAAGATATGTAAAACACGCCGCAATGTCGAATACCTTTGCTTAGATTGTAAAAGGTAAAAAATAAGATACTCTTTCAGTTGGTGGTCCAAGCGATATGGTCTGAGTGGTTAGAGCGCGAAATTACTGACCGGAAGGTCCGTGGTTCGAACCCGACCTCTGCCTCTCGACTTCTCCTATCTAGGCTTGGGCAACCTGGCAGTATCCCAGCTCTCGTGCTCCCTTCTGGTGGCATGGCAGTTAGGCACCGAAAGGTTTCTACAACTGAACGATTTTTTTCTGTAAGCTGTAACACTCTTTTTGCGCCAACCTGACACGCCATCCGAAGGAAGCACGAGGGCTGAGATACTGCCAATTCGTCCAAGCCTAGATAGGAGAAGTCGAGATGCAACAGTCGGGTAGAAACCCCGGACTATCAGGTCAATAAATTGGCGCTCTAAGCACTGAGCCATCTCGCCCCGCATAAGTATTAGTAAGTGGTATGCTCAGTGTCTGTATATTCTGGAGCATGACTTAACATGACTTTGCATTACTTAGTGGGTGCAAAATGCGTACCAAAAGCGTCTGCGCCTGTTGTCTTTCTTGTAAGCTGAAACAATGCAGTCTGTGTATTCCAGACCTACAGTGTTTTCATCAGCAGCTACTTGAGCATCAGGGTTTTGAAGAAATTCAGGTGTTCGCATCATTATCCGGTCTATCACGAACCTCAACAGAGGTTGAGAGTTAGCGTCATCGTCTTGCAACGTTTTGTGTATTGAAGTTTTTTACGAGACTTCCTCGTGTGCTCTTGTGGGCCCCGAAGTCTGAGGGCATTATAGTCAAGCGCTCACTCGGCATCTTTCGCCGAGCAGACGTGTTAAGTAAAATACCCCATTCAACCCTAGTCGAATCGACCGTAGGAAATCCAGGATTACTAGAATTGTGGATAGTTTATGCTCATGGCGTCCTCGCACCTGACGGAATGTAAGGATTTGGTCAATGCAACGGCTACCACGCCGGATTACCGCTTGATACTCTCGAATGATTGTTTCATTTGTCACCACAGGGTGACGAATGACGAGTGACGCCAAGGATCTGGTTGCGACTGAAGCCATACTGACCCTCCTGTGATTACCGCACTCACCATAGGTTTCTTTTTGAAAACGCGCACTATCACCAACTCTCCCCAGTCATATGGGACAGTCTGATTTCTCAGTTAGAGGCAGATGCGTCAGACAATCAGACTGAGTACTTCACCCGCATCCTTAAACAGTTTGGGTGGCAGTTCATCCGTATCCGGAGCTCCGTAGTCCTTGAGAGAAGATATGCGGGGATGAACTTCCGAGGCCGTTGGAGGTTCCAGGTTCACCTTGCAAGATGTTAATTCAATTCTGGCGTCCAACTGGGTGGCGGAGATGGTTACGGGAATAACTCATAATGCTTGGCCCCGCAGTGAAGACGTCTTTTGCTAAGGATGATCGCACCAGTTTGGACGTTGATATTTTCGCTGACAGATGGTTTCCGGGGATCGGTCGCGCGGATCAGGCGAAATAATCTTCGGGCATCCCCGACTTTCTGGGCCTCTTCCATTTCCTTAGCTTTCCATATCCATTGGGCTTCACGATCGGTGGACATGCTGTGTTTCACTTGACGTCTGGTAATTCGTCGGGCTGAATAGTATTGTGGACCAGCAGGAAGCGTGGTAGTACCAAGAGGCTCAAAGAATGGAGGTGGCTTGTGCCGCGAGTAATGTAAAACAGGACCCAAAACACCCAGGTGGTGAGGTAATCGAGGGTTGTAGTAGAAACCATATACATGATACAAGTCTGCGTCTAAATTGCTTTTCACAACATTTCGCTTGCTGTCGTTTTTATCCCTGTGTTTCACTGAATCAGAGCCGTGGTATGTCCTCAGTTGATAAAGTGATAATATACTCTTCCTACTCTAAGAGCCGTTGGGTTGATGAACCACCTGAGCTTCCACCAGCGTAACTTGACAACCTAATAACATTTAACATGACACAATTAGTGTTTCTTTAAAGTCCTGTATTTTCTGCTGCGAAAAAAACTTTCAGCTGTAGCAATTTTTCGGTGTCTAACTGCCATGTCACCAGAAGGAAGCACGAGGGCTGTTGATTTATTTTTTAAGCAGACAGTCAGCAATGATTCTCGAGTGTACAAGGCTTTCCTGTAAGCGACACCATTCGGTCATTCACCGTCGCCCGGATAGCCCTGATTCACCATCGAAATCGCACTTCAACTATCATGACGCTCCCCGCAATTTTGCGCTCGCTTGTTTGCAACAAGTTTGTTGTGTTCTTCTAGGTTGTCTCCTTCACCAACGTTCTGGAGCCGAGGTTCAAACTCCGCTACATCACATGTGTTGCAACGGACTAACTTTAATATCGCCGTTATCTCTGAAATCTGAAAGAGTTTAAAGCGATCCGTATTAAGGATAGATCCTTCGTAACCTGTTATCGGAAAAGGACCAGTTACAATTCGATTTCGGGTTCTCCCTAATCAAATAAGGAGATAACTGTGCTGAACCAATCCACATAATATTACTTTTTCATTTTCCTTTTTATTTTCGTTGACAGCCGTGTATATTGGTCCAACTACGAACCCTTTTCCTTGCCACCAATTGTTGGCAACGGCATCTGCTACGACGTGGTTTCGCTCCATTCGTGTTTCACCGATTACTATGATTACGATTGTTCACATCTATACGATCCTGCAGACTGTCTTGTTATTTTGCTCGATTGTGCTTCAGTGTTCTGGTGATGGTGAGTTGTCAGACTCAATTTTTGACCACAAATGATTTATTTTAACTTCTATCGCACGTCTGTTGGAATACTATCATAACTAGGGAGTTGTTTAATGCGCAGGCAAAACTACTGGTACTTTCTGTTGATTCATGCCTGTAAATCACACTGAAGATCACAGCATGCTCTGTAGCACCGTTGTGGCTTTCGGTGTCGCTATGGCTACACTGACGCCAATCGTGATTATACCGAAACCACAAATTGCTCCATACCATGTGCTGGTCGCTAGTTCCTTTAGCCTTGCACAACGGCTTAGAGTGTGACCGGTCGCAACAAACTACAGCAAGACTGAGTTAAACCATATGCAGGCTGGCAATCGCTTGGTTTGCATGTTCCTGCCGAATGTACATTTTCATTTCTCTGTGGATTTTGAACTTGTTGACCCATTCGCGTAACGCTCGCTCCTGATCTTGGGGAACCTTCGATTCTTGATATAACTTGAATAGTTCAGCCGAGAGGTAATGTGTGGAGCGATCCTGAGAGTCCAAAACTTAAACACATCATACCATTACTTGGAGTTAGAATATTTGGTTGTTGAGAACATTGTTCACCTTCGTATTGTCAAGTATTTCGTGGCTCGCAGGCATTGATTTAGATGTGAACTGACTGAAAACATCGTTTTCCTCATTGTGGGGGGCACACATAAGCAGACAGACGTTTATAGTCATGGCTTCGCACTGGTAAACTCTAAGCTCTGCTGGCTTAGTTTTGCCAGTATGTTTGGCCAGCCTGCCTAACGTGTTTGGTAGAAACAACGAGAAGGAAAGTCCGCCTGTTCTGGCCACTGGTTTTTCCGCCGAGCTGGGCGTTTCGGTTGGAACGTCTCTCCAGTAATCAAGGTGGAACCATGGAAGTCCCTTTGCGTAGGAAAGCGGTGCAGCGCGTCATTTGGTGCACGTTCAATGTTGCTGTTTGTGGTTATAAAACTGGCGCTGACTTTCACCGATTACTGGTCTGGATATTTCTTTTAGTTAACACATCGTGTACTCTGATTGGCTGATGTGACGTCTGGGTTCGTCTGTGACTTGTATTCACTGGTCCACGCTCAGGTGGACTATCACATACACCCTTTTGCATTGCACTCTGATGCACACTGACCTCATTCCGAGGGATTTCCTGTCCCTTGTTTTTTTATCCGAAAGTCATCTCCATTTCGGTTTTCCGATTGAGCAGCTGGTCCTTTACAAATAGGTCCAGCCCATATGGACTTACCAGTTGACTGGATTTGCCACCAGGCGCCATGCTTCAGAGGATTCTCTTCCTTGTCTTGTATCTGTTCTTGCCAAGATTTCTTCTCATATTTGTAAATTTTTCGACCTCTACATATGGAGACCATAGATAGTGGATCGGTACTCATGATGACCACGCCATGTCTTTTCGTTCGCTCACATAGTTTTCTCCGCAACATAAAGTTCACTGCAACCGGCACACCTGATCAGGTATACTGAGTTGTTTCTGTTGCTTTTGCTGGTTCTCGTACGACAGCGACTAGTTCTTGGGATTATGGATTTATGGGATTTTAGTTTGTTCTATTAACAAAGCAGTTCAGTCTACTCTGTCCTAAACTTCGTTTTGCCCTGAAGACCTACGTACGCTGTTCGCCGAAAAATACACACTGTTGGAATGCTCACTGTGGTGGGCTGCACGTTCCTGCCTGGATTCGGACCTGCTGTAACTTGCATTATCAAACCTGAAAGCCATACGGTTCCATCGTATGTGCAGTTTTCCGATCCGATGAGGGCTGGATTTATTGGCTGTACGTCTTATATGGGAAGTTGGTGGCTGTGTGTGTTCCGGTGAACGATAAGGATGCAGTTACAACCAACTCAAAAGGGGCAAGTGAAAGCTTTTGGTTGCGGACATTTCGGACTAACGCCGCGGGTAATATCCATAAATGAACACATCAACGGAGTAAATGCTCGTTTGGGGTCTCTGCCGCCATGACAAACCACGACATGGTCCCGTAGTGCACCACAGTGGGTGGGGAATGTCGGGCGCAGTCGAACGCGTACATATACATCACAATCTGAGGGTCAAGTGGGCAGCGGAGCCCGGAGACAGGTGGGACATCTAATGAACGGAGGGCGCACATAACGGACGCGCCAATAGTACTTGCTACGTGATTCAGGATCCCACCTACACTCATACTGATTCGTCTGTCTGCCTAGTCGCAATAAACGACTGATGTAACATTCATTCTTCTTGAAGTTCAACATAGGTGTCTGATTAGAGCATTGGGTCTTTGTGGGCTCAACTTAACGTAGAAGCTATTGAAAGCATCTGGATATTCGAATACAGGTTGTGGGACACAAAAATAAATAAGAATAACGGTATACACCACTGATGAAGCATGCGAGTAGCGTCTGGTCAGATGCCAAAGCGCTGTCCCCACGTCTTATGGAAGGTTGGTACGGAAGTCGTGGAACCACTGCAGTGACGTTTCAAGAGGAAGCTTGATGATGCTCGCTTTTCAAAAATTCTGTGCAAACAGGCTTTCTCTTTCGTGTCTAATAGTTCGTAAACGCTTATTTCGGGTTGGTCAATATACATATCTGTAGTCAGTGGCACTCTTCATTTTAACAGTAGTCCTCTCGCTCGGTACAACAGATCATTAATTGTTGCTTCATATCTTATCCGTCAGGTGGGCTTCTAAGACTTGACCTCAAACAAGCGTATTCCACCTGGGTTGTAGCAGTCGGTTAAAACGTACTTTGAACGTGTACAGATACGTGTTTCGGAGCTCTCAGTTCGAAAGTACAGATCGTCTAACGTGGCAGGGTTGCCACAGGCTTCCAGCGAAGTAGTAAGTTAAGTCAAACAACCAGATATGTTCAAGTCTCCGTAGAAACATTTACATACCAATGATGAATGGGACATGCATTTTTAGCGTTCTTGCGATTTCGCAGAAATTTTGCTATTGCGTATAGGTGGGACAAGTTATTCGTGCCTAAAAGATCGCTCAATCCATTTCATGTTTATCTTGACACCCAGCACGATATGTGGTTGATATTCACTAGTGCAACATCAACTGTTGAAGATCGTCATCGACAACATCACATCAGTGTTCAACACCGATGCTTCACTGTCGTAACTGTTGAATGTAAAGTGGATAAACGGCCAAAAAATCACACAAGTGAATTTGGAGCAACACTCCCCGTGAGAACTATGAAATCATCCATTTATCTAATATCTCGTGACGCATACAACACGCACGCCAAAGCTTATGTTACGTGCTCGACTAAAGAATCTAAATTGGGTAGTAATACAGCCACTATGATCGTGTTGTAGTGTTTGGACGAATTTAATTAAGCACTCACTAAAGTAGGTAGTGACTTATCATCAGATGACTGACAATCAAATGGCCCAGCGACGTTTGCTTGTGCAGTGGGAAGGGGTTGGGGAGGGACATCGGTGGACGCTGAACTGCGCGGGCAAATGATACTTCCCGGTTGCCCAGGCCGAGGAAGGGGGTTTGGTTGAGGTACCCCACCTTGAGCCTTCGACTCAAAAGCCTGACCCACAAGGCAGTGGGAGGACGTAGGGTTTTGTTCGGGGACCCTGGCCCTAGCCTCTGACTCAAAAGTCTGACCCATGAGACTGTGGGAGAATGTAGGGTTTTCTTTTGGGACCCTGCCCTTAGCCGACGACTCAGCAGTCTGATCTGCTCGGCTGCCGGGGGTTAGCCCAACCCGATGGCACAGGGAATAAGGCATTACTGTCTCATTCCTGATGCGGCTGCGCACAGCAGGTGCCTTTTGAGCAGCACCGGGCTCTTTGGTTTTAAAAGTATTTCGACCGTATCGGATAATGCGCCGGCGGTCACGGTCAACCGTTGGGCGATCGGAGTGTGCGGTTTTTTTGGGGCAACCTTTTCTAACCCGTCCTTCCTCGGGGAGAGGCAGCATCGCTGCTTCCATAAATATGGACCTGATGGTCGCCTGGGGGAAAAACCTGTTGCAGTGGACAGGAGTGGGAGCACGATTACTCGTAGTACGGGGTCTCGCTGCTCTTGGTCTGGCTCCTCCCCTTTGGCCTTCCTGGCATGGTTGCACCTTGTGGAAAGCTGGCTCTTTTGGGCACAGTTCTTGATTTGGAACTGCATGACAATCACCTTGACACGGACTGAAATTCCGGCTTTACCGTTAATTAAGCGTTTGTAGGACGAACTTTCTTTCAGCGTTTCACTGTGAGTAGTGACTAATCAGCGCAGCGATTCGACAAACTCAATGGTTTGTATATAGCGAGGAGATTTTTGTGAAGGAAACTACTCACAAGGTTCTTTCATGAAAATGTACTGCGATATCTCCAATATATGGAGAATGAAGCGGCCTGTGTGCAGCATATTCAGTCGAAGAGCATTGTAAACGGGAGATTTACTTGAGTCTCCCGTGAAAACCAAATTGATTTTCAGGTTAATGAAATTTTCACAATAGTAAGGAGGTCTTTTAGAAGTCTGAATTGAGATTTTGTTCTGTTGCTGGAGTTTGCGCTGGAAAGTCAAGAAGTTTCGTCCTTATTGGGAAACAACGCGGTGCTCATCGCACGCATTAGTACTTGCAGTTGCACCGTACCAAAGATGAAACGTCTATACGGGTGTTCTTCGGTCTTTCAGCATAGATTTACTTCACTTTCAGTAGATGTCGATCTGACCTTCCAGATCCTCTCATTGTCTACAGGCTCTAATTAGTCTCCTCTCTCACAAGTTGCGGTCTTCGATTATGAGAATTTGTCATTCCATGAACTAGTCAACTCCAGATTAAATGCACGAGTTTAAAGATAGTGGCTCGGTGTCCCGACTAGGTGAATGTTTATAAAAGTGTTGATCTGCCACTTGTGTCCCCGATGAAAATTATTGAACTACTGACCGCAAGGTCGTGGGTTTGAGTTTCCTTACAGTAATGGTTATTTACCTGAGATCATACCTTTGAGGTTAGGTTAAAGATGGATCAAATTGAACAATGTATGTCACAAAAATGACTTCTCGACCACGTGGTTGTCAGGTAAAGATTGTTACTTTTGAACTCGAAACTCACGTAGCTGAACCCTGCTGCACCCACCGACGGGTCTCTACTGACGTGAAATACATAGCGGATTGCTTTTTCGTAACCGACAACTCGATCGGTTTAACCAGATTTGAGTTCTCAGGAAAACGCCAGGAGATCTGGCTTCTTTTATAAGCATTCAGCTGTTATCCCCAACTTTCTCCGACCTCCATTGAGAATCAGATCGGACACAGATTTGAGGATGACAACTTTACCACTTTGTATAAGTAACGATTTCCACCAAAACGTCAATAGTTGGAAGAATGTTGCTGAATTAGCAGCTGCATGGAGGTGACTTAAAATGCTGTTCAACGCGTTCGGTCACGTGATTTGGCGTGAGGCCGTTTAAAAAATATTCACCCAACTTTCTCCGACCTCCACTGAGAATCAGATCGGACACAGATTTGAGGGTGACAACTTTTCTACCACTTTGTATAAGTAACGATTTCCACCAAAACGTCAATAGTTGGAAGAATGTTGCTGAATTAGCAGCTGCATGGAGGTGACTTAAAATGCTGTTCAACGCGTTCGGTCACGTGATTTGGCGTGAGGCCGTTTAAAAAATATTCAGAAAGATGTAATATACATGTGACCTGTTCAAAAACAATCCTGTTACCTAATACGACTCCCAAATAAAAGAAGTGGATAACGTCACAATGACAACTGAATCATTGGTCTCCTTGATAGTGCTTTTTAGGTATTCCGTCGAGGCGGTCGTGCTTACAGAAGTCGTTGGCTTCTCTGTGAAGGGCGGGGCAAAGCGAAAAAGTGATGAGACATTGCACCACAGTTTCGTGATGTACACACTTCGTATAAGTACAAAGAGGAATGCGACAACTGCACAGTACTCGGTTTTTCCATGTCACTCAACTTCATTCACAGGGGCATAGATGGAGGCATGATGGTAGTACATAGTGTATAATTGTTGAAGTGGATGTGTGGGTTTTAAATTTATACTAATAATAATATTACTAATAATAGTGATTCACTTACTCATAAGGGACGGGGCATTGTGATATTTTTTTCGAACGGGACTTTGGGGTTGTGGGGAATTCCACACTTGCAAGGACGACATCACTACATACGTATTCGGAACATTCTGGGTAGAATATATTCTACAAATCCAATAATTTGCACACTAATTTAGTTTCCACGGGAGGCTCAGCGGAATCCCAGTTGAATCTCTCGTCTTTGTGATATTCTTTAGCGAGAGAACTGCCACTCAATGCATACGTTTTCTTCCTCTATGCCTGGTGGTTATCTAGGCCAACATGCCATCACACCGTTTACTACATTGGTTCGGATTGTTTGGTCATTTGTTGGATCGCGTCCCCCAATCTCGTTTAAGATCTTGAAAAAGCAAAGCGAACTCTGCGGCGTCAGAGAGGTGAACACCGCGATGCGCGCTCGCCGGTCGTATTCTGGCGGAAGCTTTTACAAGACCGATCGTTACGTAGAATGAATGCTATATAGCCATATTATTACGTGCTGTAGTAGAAATTCATTGTATTCGTTGTAACACAAAGCTTTACTTCTTCCGTATACGATTTGGTACTTCCTGAGTTTATTGAAAGCCTCGCTACAATCGACCTGTACACGTCCTTTGGCTAACTGTATCTCGTTTTGTTTGCTCGGGTTTTCTGTTAGGGATCGATGCAACATCAATTGATTGGTACTGTGGGTTTGACATTTGTCGGTGTCGAAATTTGTGGCAGCGATTTCCGGCTGTTTTCACTAGGGTGTGCTGATAGTATTTGCAGGAACCCAAATAAACGGAAAGGGCGGGAAGAATGTCAATCTAGAAAATCCAAGCATATCGTGGGAGAAGTAGTATTTGTTCTGAAACTGAAGATGGGATTCAGCTAGACTTCAATATTGGAAGTCACAGTACTCCGTTATTGCACTGTCTGGTTTTTTGACCGTTTGACAACATTCCATCTCAAAGGCGGTGTGTTTTTGTCCGAAGAAATCAGCTAGCTGATTGTCTGGTTGCCAACCCGTGGCTGACTATCTCCCAATCTTACAAAGGATGGTACTCTCATGGGAGTGAATGCCTTCCTGAACGTCTGGTTACATCTGGCATGAATGTTTCATGGGTGTATCAATTACTTTTGATAAACATTAAACAACGGTTCCCACAGTCAATGGACTTAAAACCGATACCAGGAGAAGGGCAAACTTTGAACACGGTTACCTGAGTTTCTGTGCATTTCGTGACACTTTTGTTCCCATCCGGTTACATTCTCGGATAGCCACAGATGTTTGCTAACGACGTTCCTAAACGAATTTGTATTTTTCAAATTTGGTTTCCCGTTTTCCTTTAACCTTTCCCTGAAGCCTATGTTTGCACGCCTGACCCTGAACTTGATTTATCAACTATAGCAACACTATTCGTCCACCGTCACACGTTCAGTCCCATACTGTCTTCGTGCTTATTCTGCATTTTAATGTAATAAATAAGGTATCGTGAAGCCGCTGCATCTCGGATAAATGTTCCGTCAAAATGTTGTTTTCTTGGTTTTCGTTTAACACTAACAAGGTTTGTTTGCCTAAATACATTCATATCTTCCACAGCACACGGTGCAAACGACTATCTAAGTCCACCGCTTCACTAGGTCATACCTGTTTTGCGTTTGAAACTATCTCTTCCAGCTTCATTCTCTTTCAAAGTTTATCCGTATGAAGCGCAATATGTGGCATCCGAACACGCCGGGGTTAAGCTGATTTTTTTTTCTCTCTCTCTCTGTGTGAAATAGTTACTATCTCACGACTTTTGCAGATGGAACGCTTACTGTTCCTTCTAACTTGCACAGTCACTGGGTTTTTGTTTTCAACGTACTTGTAAACCAACAATCCATGGACTTCAAATGCGTCCTCAGTTACATACGTTGTATTGAGGTCAAATTTGTCAACCACAAGATTTTTTTGCACTGAGAAGAGCACCAACTTCCAACGGTTGTGCTTGAGACTGGTAACAAATCTCTAGGGTTATGGTCCTCAGTGTTAATGGGTGTTCTGCAACCGGCCGATGATTTCATTTCCGGTCACGGTCCGCTACTTCTCGAAGAGCAGAACAGCGTTGTGTGCCTACCCAGCTACAATTAGTGCTGCTTCCGCTGAGTGTCACGCGTCTTTTATCCTTCGGCATGGATATAGTGACCCTAAAGACGTGGATGGCGTTCTAGCCAGCCGAAATACCCCGACAATGTTTGTAGTTTGGTGACATCTACTACCGGATTCCTGCGATAGGGTAGACTGGCGGCCCGTTGAAATACCAGTTTCTCAGTTTTTCTTGGTAAATTACTACAGGCGACAGAAGTGGACGGTGGAACTTGTTCCGATTCGATGTCGAGTATGATTGACCGTCTCAATAGCTGTGTGAACACCGAAAATAGCTGCGGAGCAAAATTTGGTGGAGATTGAGTGTGCGCAAATTTAAATAACCGGCCTGGATCTACTTCAGTCTAGCTCAGTCCATGGACCTTGCCACAAAACTTGAAGGTTGGGTTGGTTTTAAGTTAAGGTACGCTCCGGTCAATCCCTATTTCGAACTCGACATTAGGGGCATAAGGATGACGAATCACCCGTGTGTGTCTGTGGATCCCTTACACAACACTTATGCACTGTCCGCCGCAATTTCCACCGTAACTCCAATTAAACTTAGCTTCAACATATTCTCGTGAGTTGTCCCTCTTGCGAGTCCTGCTCCCCAACCATCACTGCTTTTTTCCCGTTTCTTCTAGGAATCGATGTTAACGTTGAATCTTTAAGGAAAACGGGTACAGCGGAAAAGGATGACCAAAAGAAAAATCCTTACATCTGGGACCGTCATGTAGGTTGTCACTTTCACAGACTATTTACGTTTGTTTTACATTTGTACAGTGACCCTGTAGAGGCACCCTCAATTATCGCCACTGTTTTTGAGAAAAAGGGGAACGGTACTACACTAAGGTGTATGAAGGTTCACCATGTCCTCGTTTTCAGCCCCTAAACGGTACCGCGTCTGTTACATCATGCTCGATATTCTTTCGGATTACTTCGTCTTTTCGTGTTTATCATCACATCTTACGGCTTCTACATTTATCCCTAGGATTCCAAGACCCCGGTCCCTTTTTATGCGACCGAATTGACTCTCACTCACTTTACAACTTTAAAGGAACTTATAAAGGCGAAGCTGTCCTGGGTTCTGCTCTGCAGGTGGTTCTCGTTGAGACAGACCTATTCTTTTGAGTTTGATCAAGTCTGAAACGCTCTCAGCATTATCCCAAGACCAGAGCACTACACTCTCCGGTCACTTCTAAACGTAACCGAACTTTTAATTTTTCCGCTGTTCAACCTCGTTTAACGAAACATAATGGATAGGGGGCCAATTACTGCTGGATTTTTCTAATTCTAGTTGGTTACTTTTCACATTGGATCACTCGATTTCGCCAAGCTTGCACACCGCTTACCCACTGAGTTGACGAGTCTGTACCAAGTTACCATGGTGCTGTGGTTGCCTAGCCAACTTCGCTCCAACAGCTGCTATACTCAGGGCTGTTTGTTGGCGTATTTAAATCACTAATTTAACCCTGGATAGATAGGCCGAGTCTTCGAATTTCGTCCAGATAATTTGTTTCATGATCATTTAAACCTGTTCATCCTTCCGTTTTCAATGTCTCCTGCCCCATAACCTTGGAACTGAACGTTATGTATTGACGCGCTTGATTTGATGTTTCTTTTACTTGTGTGTGAAACAATGGACAGGATTCTTTCGCCAGCTACCAAGAAGTAATAAACGATAATTATGAACACAAGCAAAGCAAGTAAAAGCCCCGTGCTGTATTTTACCCCGTGCTTCGAGGACAGTAATGTGAGGCAACACCTTTTCCATTCATCGCATCGCTGGACGCACAATCTATCCTGGGAAAAACTGATTATCAATGCAATCCTCTCACTGGGAAGGGGGATCGGACAGAATTTCTCCATGGTATAAGTTCGAAAATTCTGATGAACTGTTCGTCCACACAGATTTCTAATTGATCCGACCGCATTGAGGTTTAGCTGTGTGGAATTTCGGTCTGAAATAGAGACTTTGTACAACTCGCTGGTTGTTGTAAAGCTAACTCACGTCTATTTATCCTTTACAAGGGCATTCTGAAAACGGCAGAGGTCTTGACTATGTCTTTTCCGAGAAGCCTACTCTGTATGTCTCTAAATGCAAGTCTCCCTCAATTACATCTGCCCACTGCATCATTCAAGTCAAACAATAAACCAGACTAAAAACGTCCAATATTCTACACACTCCCTTGACCATCTTCGACATATGCTTGAAACCACGTACTTTATTGCTTTCCAAGATGAAGGCCTGCTCGTACAGTAGTGTGGCATCCTGCCTGGAATTCCACCTGGATTTTTTTCCGTGGCAAACCCAAACCACCGTTCATGGGGATAGGTAAAGAAGTCTTTCCGTCCATTTGATACTGTGGGGGTAATTGTCACATGTGATAGCAGTTTTATTATCCGTTATTTGTTTAGTTAAGTAAGTCTTAAGAATTATGGGATCCAGCACCACCAATAAGCACTTATATTTCGGGCGACGAATGGCTACGTGATAGCCATCGATTTGTGGATGAAAGCTAGTTTCCACCCAGTTGGCCCTTCCACCTATGTGAACTTTTCGAACTGCGTTGGTTCGCATCGTTACCAGTTAGTGCCACTCACAATCACGAAATGTACTTTTTACTGATGTATGCAATGCCCAGGTTAGATGTTACTGCAAGTTTTTAGCTGTCATTGGAAGCACCACGTTATAAAAAACTAAGAAGTGACGCTCATAGGATGTTCGTGGATGCAGATGGATATTATCACCTAAATCAGACCTTCAAATTGCAGTAGTTCACTTAAACTCAGACCCGTCTACTCCTAACGGATTATCCTTTATCAAAGTGGTCACATGCGTGTCAGACAGCCTTTTTTCACATTGAACATGCGCTCGCTCAACACATTCCAACCCTGAACTTCTAAGCAAAGTAACCGACACTTTAGAATATGGAATGGGTGCGGTCCTATTGTGTCTGGTTTCAAGCATTTCAAAATGGTTTTTCGACATTTCTTTCGCACGCTCTTGTCACCAGTGGAAAAATACAAAAGCTTTAGTTATTGTTTTCGCTGTGAAGAATGTCGCACGGCGAATGTATTGTTCTGCACACAGACCAACACCCAATGCTTCGAATTTCTTAAAGGCGATCGACAAGAAGAGGAAGAGTTCATTAAATTCGCAATCAAGAAATTGGTCCCTATGCCATAGAACAAGTTTGTTACAGCCATATACTCCTCGGGTCTTGGATTTTTCAGGATGAGTTGGTCATTTGTAAAATTCACGCTCAAGTAACTCTTGTTCAACCAGTTGTTCTCGTGTTCGGGTGCACTTATTCTGGTGAGTCCACACCAGAGGTGGGGAGCAGTGGATTTGAGTTTCGCTCTTATCAGAGCTAAGCATCAGTATTTATCCTCGGGCGAGATGGCTCAGTGATTAGAGCGCGAATTCACTGACCGCAAAGTCCGTACAAAGCGAGATCATCATGGTGGATAAGACAACCCGCCTTTCGAATCTAGGCCATTGCTACGTTGTGCCTAAGGTTTTCAGTGACTGACGTATTTCCCTAGTGCATATTGCGGAAAATTGACTCCCACAAGTTGCCATAAAGATGGGATATTTTTATTCTCCAGGTGAGAAGTTTCGCAATTACCAAAACAGTTTTTTCCCTGCAGGTGCTTTGTAGATGGAGCAGAGTAAAAGAGAGTTGCCTATCAGTGGAGATGAAGTTGTGAGATGAATCACTGCTAACAATGGACGATGAGTTATTTACGTACAATAAGCCGAACGTTTGAGCCGAGAATGAAGCACTCTTTTCGAGGAAGTAGATTTTATTGATCAAACAGTTGTCGATATCAAAACACTAGTTAAACAATGAGGTTCAACTTGACCGTAAATACTCGGTCAGAATTGGAGAGAACCCGGCCATCCAATGGTCTACATTTTACTGTGTACGGTTAACTGCAATCCAGGATGACTTCTGACTCCTGAGTACTCATGACTATGGAAATCATCCAGTTTTGATCAAAATAATTTATCAAAAGGACACCTTTGTCCCATCAATTTTACGGTGCAATGCGCCTGTTTGGGGGCCATTATCGGTTTGGGTGTTACATTCAACCCCACTAGCATTAAGCTACAAGCACATTCGTTTCTAGCTAGCTCTCGATTCATGTCCCCCAATTCGTTGAGACCCAACTTTTGTATGTTTTAGGGTATGTGCAATTCAACCAGTACCAAACATTTGTCACAGTATCTTTCGTTTTGCCCCGTTTTTGATATTGTTTTTTTTCCAGACTATCACTCCTTATGACAAGCTGGTCTATGAAAACTCCTACTGGGCCTTTACAAACCTGCCTTCTGTACGAGTCCCTGTTTTGCGGGCCCCATTTCCGACGTTTGGCATGGTCATGCCTTTGCCCTATTGGTGGTCGGGAACTGAGCATTTCTATCCTGTAGACGTCAATGATCTGGAGTTCAAACTGGTCGGGGTCGACAATTACATACTGAGGGTGAGTGTGCTGCAGGGTTGGGTTTCATGAACTGTATGTAAACGATAACCGTAGACACACATTTGGATTAGCATCGGTGTCGGCTATGCACACACGAATGGTATACTGATATCCGTTCCAGAATTCGTCCGCATCATCGAACGACGCCAGTGGACCACCGCATACCATATATAATGCTGAATATCGTGTGAAGCCAGCTGAACATTCTTCACCCGGTCCCAACTCGAGTGAAAAGACCGAAGAATGAATGCGAAGGGTCAGTCTTAAGGCCAATTGTGTGCTTCCTCCTCTAATCCTCTAATCCTCTAATCAATAAGGCTCTGAGAGGCTCACAGTACGAAAGGTGCAGTGACTCACACCACACACAAAGTACCTATTTCTGATCGTTACTCCGTTTGATATGCATTACGGTGGCCACAAAAAGACACCCTTTTAGCATCGTTGACGTCTTTAGAATCCCTGATGTCCATGGTCGGGTTTTTTGCGGGCACAAATGAGAACATTCTAGCATTTAAACCCAATGGTGACGGAGTCCTGCGCGGCTGATAAGCCGTTGGGGCATTTTGGTCTATTTCGGTGTACACGGTGATAATCATGGAAGGTCGCTTCTAACACCACCGAGGGTTTAGCTATATGACAAACTCAGAGGGTGAAGGCACAACCGCACATGATCAGGCATAGACACAGTGATGTGTGTGCCTTCTTTAGTCTCGTCATGATGCTTCGACTGTTTCCATACCAGGTTGTGAACTCGAGTTCAAACGATGGGATTTTTCCCCGCATTATTGGTTATCCTCTATACAATCATCCCAAAAATAGAATCCATCCGAGAGACTTGAGGAGATTTCAAACCCGCGACACTTTACCCCCATGTAGCAATGAATAACTTGGAGAAAATGTCAGATAACTTACTGACTGAATTCTAATTGATATCACTAACAACTATTCATATGCCTGGCTTTCCGAAGTATTGAACTGGTCGTGGGTCAGTGCGAAGGGGCTAAATTATGTGCAACTTACGGGGAATCACTGGTTACATCTGCCTGTCTAAGTCTTTGCTCTGGTAAGTGTTGTTCCAGAAGGGACTGACTATTTATGGCATGGTTGCAGAGACCGACTAAATAGTCCAGTATAATGTCCTATGGAGTCTGCATTCCGGACGTGATAGACCGTGATAGACCCAGTCAGTGGGTGGGGGTTAGAAATGAGTTCCTGTGATGTAGCTGTCAAAACAGAACCGATGAAAAAGCCGCGCTGTTCCAAGTGCAGCGCGTTGATCGGGGGTGGGCTGGGAAATTTGGGCTGTGTAAGCGACATGTCCACCACTTCAGTAAGTATTTTGTCGAACCTGAGCTGTTGAGTCACGTGAACGGTCAAGTAACTAAAGTCTCTGGAGTAATCGCCGACTTTAATATCAGTTATCTTCAAAGCACCTTGGGAATACAAATGAAGCCGTGGGCTTATTTCCTATACACTTTTTATCTTAAAATCACGGTAGGTCTTCTTAGTGTACTGAGGTCAATTTGAAAGGGTCCAGATAGCAATTTTTCGTCCCAAGTTGTATTCTAGTGGGTGTGAATTCGTCTATGCACATCACCATCCCTGACCCGGTCGACCAAGGGACCCAATGGACGCACTGTTTAAGCGTACACTGGCATGCATCTTTCATTTACGATTCAATGCACGGTTGACTCTGCCAGTAGCCCTCATGTAAGTTGATGCAGGAGTGTGTAAGATTGGCCAAAACCAAGAGGTGACTTTCATCGTCACTAGGATTTGGTAAGAGCTTCAGTGAAAGCTGAGTGACCACTGGGACCTTTAGATCATACGGAGGAGGTGGACGCGAGAAGTCATCTGAATCGAGTGGGTGGTTCAACCAGTCCTCGCCAAACCTAAATAGACACCAGGTTAAACGCGAAAGGTCGATCGCTGGGTTTTTCAGTGACGGTTAGTAGATACAAAGTCGGAGCGAAATAGATATTCGGCCTGACAGCCCCTCGGCAACAAACGAGAGTAAACGATTGTATGTGCTTGACTTGTCTGAGTTGACTTATCACTTTTTGACGCCCTGCTGTGGGATGATATTGTACACAACACTTTTCTACTTTTTTTGAAGCTGTTGTATGCCCCTGTTTACTAATTTTCCAAATTCTACACCGTTGGCCTTCGCGCAGATGCCAATAGACCAGATTACGAGGTATATGATATTCCAAAGAACGAACAGGATTCACAATGCCTTTTCATAATATCTTCTAACCAGTTATCTAAAGTTGAATAAGACTATGGTTGAATCATTAGGCATGATGTGAAAGCAACTCAACGCACGTTTCCTCCTAACTGGATTTCATCATTTAGACGTAGCAGGTTTGGTTGCGTGTCCTTTAATTAAACGGTTTTTGAGGTTCTCTGTAGCACATTGTTGTCACCAACCACACGAATACGCATGGTGGAGGTGAGCGTGGTGCTTTCCTGGTTTAGTTTGTGTATTGAAACTTGACATGAAATTCGAGTACTCGAGGGTGGTCAAGTTTCAGTCGAGGATCTGATGGAGGAGGTGGGTCGATATATCATGCATATAGGGCATTTGTAAGAAATCATATCAATACGTGTGCGAGGAGTTAGTGACTTTGACGGTTTGCAAACGCCCAGTAGTTTCATCATCATTCGTTTGTCTTGTTGGGGTTCAAAGTTACTATCGTCTTGTTTGCACGGTTTCATGAATACTGTGATGTCGCAGTAGGAATTCCTTCGTGTTCACTATTCCGAGTTAATTCCTGCTTTAGGCAGCTACCCGTTAGCCTGTGGTCATAATCTCGTATATCGTACTAATAAAAGGGAACGTAGAATAAGCGATCCTCACTATTCGACTAATTGAAAATAAATCCAACTCCCATGCTTATGGGATGAATTGTATTTATTTCATATGTGTGATATTGATAACGAGAAGCTTAGATTGCGAGGTAAGATCATAATTTTCCTTTATGATTGACATTACCTCGTCTTCCACCCCGCTGATCGTGTCTCAAGGTGTAGTATGTTATACATGAGCTCCTTATATGATCTACTCACATAGGCTTTCCCTTGTCGTGTCATTTGGCTTTGCCAAAATGGAACACCCCCCACAGTTCAGGGCATGCGAGAAGTGGGCATGCTATTATATATACGTGGAGAGGCTGGTTATCTAACTAAAATAACACAATAAGCCTGAATCGTATGGAAACCAACAGGGTCTTCGAAGGTGTTCTTGACCATTTGTTTTCGGAAGGCCTCTGACAACAAGCGATGAAACAGTGCTTTTCATCACATTTGATTTCGTTTTCGTGAAATCAAGTAACTATTTAGCTTACTGACGCGATGGGCTCCAGTGGCAACCTCTGTTCACCGTACGTCTATAAACAGGGGACTCGGTTGATTACAGTTGTGAACGAATATGAGGAAGCCTTTGTCACGCCTTTGTCAATCCATATCTTTCATGGACTGAGGTTCCATCTAATAGGATGGTGCGTCACTGTCTGGTCCATGAGTAGTCTCGTCCGTTCATCAGCCCGGTCCAGTTGCTTTGGTAATACACATGTAGTTATGCTTTGTGTTTTTATGGTGAACTATGCTCTTGGCAGAGACAGGCTAGCAATCGGTAAGCGAATGTCATTGATGAAACCAAGAGTTGACTCCTACTCGAACCAAAAATCCGTAACTCTTAGTAATTCTTGATGGCGAGATTAATCACGCGTGATGATAGTACGCCCCTCGAGACTTTCCTGATCGAGATTGACCTTAGAATCGTAGAGATCAGGATAAGCAGTAATCCTCAAGGTATGCTAGATCTCGATGGCCACGTGAAAACGCATTTAGTTTTGTGGCCGCATCATGCGTGACCAACGGCGTGCGCCGATGGAGTGTCCCATAAATCGTGACGTGAATATTTTGAGTTTAAGCGAATTCATCCGCCTTGTCTTCACCGGCGATAACATAAGCAGTCAGCAAAACTCTGGTGTCCAACAGTACACATGAAGCACCAAACTGCCGCTGGCTGCCATGATCAAGTGTGCTTCCCTATTTCAGCAGTTCTGGAAGGTTAGAAAATAATGATCTATTTGATACGTCGTTTCTTTTATCCATCTCAGAGCCGTATTCTACCACTCGTTGGCGTTCCTTTTACAATCTCGAGTCGCGGGTTGTAGTCAATAATGAGTAGGAGCAGTGTTGAATCACCATCTAGTCGATAACAAGCTTTGCGCCGATAGTTTCCGTGAACAAAGTAAGGGCTGAAGTTAATGCTTGGTGGGCAAAGCTTCGCTTATCGATGAGACCTTGGGGTTTGTGTTTTATGTTTCTTGCGTAACAGATGTCTGGTTATCAAGGAAACGAGTACAAGATGTGCTCTGACCTGGTTATTTTCTTCCATATTCCATTCAGATCACGTAATTCAGAATACTTTCCGTTCAACATTTGTCCGTTCTGTCGGTGCAAGCCTGTCTGCGGATGCAGAACTCGTATACTACTCGAGAGTCAGACAGTTTAGACAGTCGAGTTTAGTCTTATCTCAAGCATCGTTTGACCTGCCACAATCTGGAGCAGGAGATTGCACTCAGTTGGATTTGGCAGTTGGCTTTGCCAGTCAAACTAAATTATCAGTTAGGAAGAACCAGAGGGCCTTATTCAAGTGCGCACGATTGTGTGACCAAAACGGATTGATTTTTGTCCGGCTTCGAGGTTTTTCACCGTAGCTCGGTCGACAGTCAGTCCAGGCTGCAGCAGTCGTAAATGAAGTGCATAAAGTATCGCATGCGAACAAACCAGCGTTGAGAGAAATCGAATAACTGGATAAACAAAACTGGCTTTAATGACATGTTCTACTTTGCAGTGGCACAACACAGTTGGAATGTTGTTACATTCTGTGACGATAGAATATGCCTTGGTATATTGGCGCTGTGCTGCCTTACTTAGCTTCCTAATTATTTGTTGGGTTCAGTAATTGCTGTAGTACCCCCTTCTCCATTTCCCTTCCAAAAGGAAACAACCGAACATTTTTACTGCGTACAATATTTCCGATTGCCATCAACCTTGAGTAGGCAACCCCGCACAACCCTATGGGAATATTCATCTGCTCCTCTAAGGTTAGAATTTCGCCCACAGTGGAAAACCGTTATCGATTAGAAGTAGGCCATCACTTTGAACAGTCGAAATAATCAGCACGGTAACCCGCCGCTTCAATGGACATTTGACGTGAATTTACTTGGCTGATAATTTGATCTTGGATACACAAACGAAACCATCAGTGGTGACGATCCACAGTCGAAAGGCCGATGGAAAGTAATACAGGTCAGGGATGGACTGAAGCAACGTACTCTATCCCAACAATCATCAAGTTCCATCCCAATCTGCGTTAGTCCGTCGCCGGGAATAATTGTTCTTCTTCTGGTTAGCCCGGCTGGAACAAACGCTAGCGCCTAATGACTTTTGGATGGCGGGATTTGATCGCAATTGTCTAGTTTCACCATGCCCTCCTACCATGGTTGTATCAGGGATGTTTAAAGCTATCAAAATCTCGAGCAATTATCTTTCAGAACTTTCATGAAAGTTATTAAATCCAAGCTATACGATCACCTGCACTAGGAAGTACTCCCATTAGAGAATGTGGAATCCCAAAGTGTTTTACTGAGGTGCCGGAGTAAGGTATCCGTAGTGTAATGAATCAATCCAGCAAACTGGTGTAAAAAACAGCATGATGTCCTTGTTCTTTCCCACGGATGGGTATGGTTTGAGCCGCTACTGATTGTCGTCGCGGGCATTCTAGTTGTCAGTTTCTCTCCAGACTGTTTGAATGAGTGTCTGGAGGTGTAGTATCTCGGAATGCTTGTGGTAGATCAGCACTAAGTAAACTGTTCACCTGCAACGAGCCAATTAGAAAACGAGTATTCGGCAGTACAACGGGAGTTCAATCAGGGGAACAAAAATCGACGAGTACCAAAAACGGAGTTGGTTAGGCCATGCTTTACGCAAACCGATTCATCGTCTGCCGATCTTGTTCAGAGTGGCACAAGTATGGAGGCGGTCAACTTTTGACCTGTCGGAAGGCTGTGAAATTGATTACGAGAAGACTGGGTGCTGGCGATGTGACTTGCCTTCGAGGTTTGGGTCTGCGTGTTCCACACTGTGCCTGTTCGGGGGTGCTGCAAGATATGGCTGCTAGTTGACGCCGTTGGTGTTCTTTTCGCCAATTTCATGTCGAAAAAGTGTTTAGAGGTTTAGGAGCTTTGAGATGCTTGTGGCAGGGTCTCTTCCTCGTCCACTCTAATTCCTTTCTTCCCAATAAGGCTTTGAAGCCAATCATGATTGTACAGCAGCCAAGCATTAGTGTTGATCACTGATGTTGTGCCCCAGATGGTGATGATGATGACGATGAAACGGCCGGCCGAAAGAATCAGATATCCACCAACCGCGTTCATCTTAGGTTGGAAAAATCCTACTTCATTTGAGTACGCCTAAACGAAACTCAGATGATTTCACAGAAAAAAAGATTGCCAGAAAGCGAACGACCTGGTCATTTTAGTAGATGTCAGCCTTTCATTGCAGAAATACCCACTCAATGGCCTTCAATGGCCGCTACTTTAGAGAGGAGCCCTAACTTAACAAAACGCTTTTCTTTCCATCCTGTCTAAAACAGCGGTCACCCAACACTCAGCTCACACAGGTATCAATTAATCGCGCGGTATACTTTGCAGGCTCCATACTCCATACTTGACCAGTTCAGTCTGATTGCGCCCAGTTTATTTCTTCACTTGGCAGGCAGGCGATTCTTAGGACTTCGAAAGTTCTATGGGCTTGCATCAACCAACTACCGACAAACTATGTTCCACTTGGCATCGGTTCCATCGCTGATAATTACTACCGGTTGGTGTCAGTGGCAACAGCGCGTGTACTACCGTAGTTTACTCTAGCAAATATCACAGGACGTCCCAGACGTAAAGGGCACCGCTGAAAACGTGCTCCATTACGATAGGCTCTGTTCGTTCACACGTGATCCTGCCAAAAGCTGCTACTGGGCCCTGTTTAGCTTGACAGCGATAGAATAGTGAGTAACAGTTATATGTGATACCCACTGAAGCAAAGTTGATGTCAAATACCCCTTTTAGGGATAGCAGTACCATGCAGGATAGCTATCTATGGTCAACCTTGCTAACAAAAGTTGCAACGGATTCACCAGTTTATCTTGCGTATGGTTGGAACGTAATCCGAATTAGATGTGGACAGTAGACAGTAGTACGATCCAGTGTCTTTCGGTATGAGACTTCACATTCAGTGGTTCTCATTTCTCTCGTACATGAATAACAGTTCTCGGCACGACTGAACTTGCTCGCGATGTCTCTTCGGTTTCACTGCCAGCTCGTAGCGTGACCATTCTTGGACTGTTACCAACTTGTAGATGTTTGGATGCGGAGGGTTCCTCTGGGCAGATTGCCATATATCATTGGGAGCACGTGACTAAGCTGGAGCAGGTCGTTGATCTGGACGTTGTCAGTTCGGTATCGCTAGAGAAGCAAGGAGGACAACATCAGGTATTGCCCAGTTGGCCACCTCCATCTGCCTCCACGTTTTCTTTATGCGTTCACAGCAAGCATTGTGTTTATTTCCTTGGAGGACGTTTCGGCTAGCTGAGGTTGATACGCATGCACCGTGACTGTTCTTTGGAAGTACTGGATTAACGTAGCTTTTGGCCATTTGATTCAAATAGCTCTATATTTGCTTTGGTCGTAGTGATCAACGGGTTACACGATAGACCTATGCTTGCTGGACGCTGGTACTGCACGGATAACGCGTGTCTGCAGAGGTCACTCCTCGTTATCGGTTCCGAATCGACCGTCAAAGTGTACTTCCGCGTGAATCAGTGTACATAATGGAGCGTTCGCATCACGTATAGGGATGACGAGGTCAACTTTGTTCACTTGACGAGAGAACCTACAAAGATCTAAATATAAAGTCTTTCTTCAACCACCTATCTGGTATCAGTCGATATGTACTTTGACACTTCTAATAAGCACTGTGTCGATCGACACTGACCGTATTTGAACCAGATAGCTTGGTAGAAAAAAGACAACGATTGTGTACTGGAATCCAGTACGTTGAACTCAGTCACATAGCTGAGCTTGGACTGCACGACTGCTTGTAAGCCTACACAGCATGTTAGAACCTTAGATGTGGTGGTCACCCAACTGATACTCTAATGATTCACACAGTTGCCCTACGTCGAACAACAAATCAAGTGAATTTCGATTATGTATTGCGAAGCACCATAGCGCCGGTCGTATAGCTGGGCAGTCGATATGTGTCATCGTCGTACCTCCTGTTGAGTGAAGTAAGCCTTTTAAGAAGTGATAACACTCCCTTTGTGGTGACAAATTTTAGCTAGGGAATTCGTGAAGCGATATCATTGTTAGGTGAGCGCGACCAATTGAAATTAAGAGTTCAACTGGCCACCTTGTCGACGGCATTTTATCTCTTTAAACACTCGTGGTCTATGCGCAGAGGCCGATTGAATTGAGTATTTCCTCGTACACGGTCACCCTGGGGAAGAAAGTGGGATTTAGTATGATATGAAGCTCGGTTGTTTTTTGGTATACATTTTGTTTGGTTGTGCCTCATGTCATGAACAATAGTGGGCACGGTCGCCTTAGCTGAGAATCGCTAAACATCACATTTCTGAAATGATGAGATAAATGGCTCGTGGAAAAAGTGACACTGCGGAAAGAATATAAGTTGCCGCGGTTTTTTGAGTGCTTCGATTAGGACTGCTGTATTTCGAAACCTATTTTGTTGGTGATATACGTAACAGGGTTGCTCGGCTTGAAGCACCTCCAAATACCATGGTGGTTCAAATATTTATATTTATGTTAATGTTTTATTTTTGACAGAGTGCGATTTCGCGGTGTAAACAGGTGATCACCAGTCGGAGTGGACTGTCGGTCTACCCAAACCGCTGGACGCACCAAGAACCGTTGCTCGCAGAATGGTCCAGGGAGTACCAAACAAACAAGCGGATATCCACTCGAGTGGCCGGAACCGCTGGTGCCGATTTGGATATTGCTGAGCGACCAACATTTCGGTGGTCAGAGAAACGAGTGCAATGGTTTTATCAGATATTCAACTCCCAACAACAACAACAACACAAGCCATCCACACCGTTACGTCGCGTCCGGATCTATGTTCGTTCATCTGGCAAGGATTGGCCGTCTCTGCAAATGGACGAATCTTGTGAGTGTTGCCATCTCATCATTAACTTTCTGAGTAGACCGGTTATCTTTATGTAGCCCATTTTCCATTCGATCACTTTGGACAGGTTCACACCCTTTTGGGTCATCTAAAACTGGTTTTATTTTTTGTTCTTACCGTTCCCATAGGCCCATCGGTTTTTGTTGAGAAAGAATTTGTTAGAACCCCACGGCTGTCCCGTTCAATCTTTTCAATAATGCCACCCTTACATGCGCAAGTGAATTTCAGATAGGTATCTTAATTACTAGTCAAGTTCCAGCCAAGCTACAGCCGACTACCTTGACAGATATTTTACAACCCGGCTTTGAACAGCTTGATTCACCACACCACCCTCACGTGATGATGCTGAAAATGCTCTCTGAGACTTTTTCTATCCTGTCTAGTATTGATCTGCTGGTTGTATCAGGTGGTTTGTGTCACCGTTTCCTACCGATAAGTGAACATTGTACCAGCGTCCCTGGATAGTTGTTCGACCAACGCTGGATTTCAGTTCGTACCCTCGCCATTTTGCCCCGCATAATTGTGACCATACAAGCTTTCCGGTTGTTTATGTCTTCGCCTAGAATTCAATTCATTCCTAGTCTTGTTCCATCCGTATAAGTTGTTGTAAATTCCGTGATACGTGTGTTCCACTGACATTGTCTTCGGACAAACGGGCCGTTTGTAAGTTGGTTGCTTTTGTCATGCTTCCTTTTTCCTATATACCCTATTTAGTTTCATATTGTTAAGGAAAGTAGCAATAGTGTTAGTGGCAGTATCGTATCTGGAGTGAGTGAGTCTACTGTTGTTGGTCAGAAATGTGTGTTTCTCATCCGTTAAGGTATGGTTGATATTTTAGTACCGTTGTCCGAGTGAACCGTGCGGGCGGCTTTCTCATCCATGGGCTGCCTTCCAATGGTTTGCTGAAACTCGTTAAGTTACATTGGATACGCAGGTGGATTCAATGATCAGTGTTGATCAGGTGAACTGTAACTGTGGTATTCAGCTGATTTCTTTGTCCACCGCTACCGCTCCACATGTCCACCCCACATACACCTGTGGAATTTTCGTAACACACACCAGCGATCGATTAGGTGTAGATAACTGTATGCCGTCACTCTAACCTTGAAACTGGTTCCTTGGAGGATATACCGTAGCGTCATGGAAACTACCAGTAGTAAGAAAGCTGACTCGGTTTTTGGGCTCTCGAAATCCGCATGTAATTTCGACGGAATACCTCCATTTTAGAATTCACTAGGGAGGGGAAATCGCGTAAGCTCAATTTAATGCATGGAAATGATTCACCGACAGAAATTTGACGAAATACTCTAGAGCTGCGCTTTTGTGCGACACGTCGATGTGCCCGAGCAAACTTTGGACAATCACACTGAGAAACTGTTCTTAATTTAATCTATGCTGCCAAATGATATCTTGGAAGCGATTCTGCATACTGGGAAAAGGACGCATTCTTCTTTGATCAGAGAAAGAGCTGTTCATTACACAGAAGCTGATCCGTTTATTCTGAAATTGCACATGAAAACCCCATAGTTATGTGCGCAAATGTTTATCCGTCTGTATATTGCTCGGAGGTTTATGTCTTTGAAACCAGATTTTTCGGTGGTCGACTGTCGTTCCAGGTAGATATGATCAGTGTAACTGAAACGCGAGACGGCATTTGTGCAGTGCAGTCGTTAGGTATAAACGAGATAGGTGAATTTTAGTCGAGTCACCCTTCAATATGCACATTTCAGTGTCCAGCAATTAATCTTGGTGTGCATTCAGATGCTATGTCTACCTGATGAGCCCCAAAGAGACGTAGGAAAGACTTGATTTGCCAGAGGTTTTCATCAACCTTATAAGTCGTATTGTTTCGAGGCGATGTCACGTTCGTTCCTTCTCAGTCGAACGCCTATTGGGGTTTAATTTACGTCGAATCACGCCTGAACAACTGCGTGATCGTCTTGGCGGCAGATCACACTTCAGTATCAGTCCTTGACTCTAAATGATGGAGGTAAACTGAGCACTATTGTTATACCTGAATACAATATCTCAACCCTCCTGCTTCCTTCTGGTGACATGGCAGCTATGCATCTCAGAGGTGCTACATCTTATACCTGATACAATATCTCAACCCTCCTGCTTCCTTCTGGTGACATGGCAGCTATGCATCTCAGAGGTGCTACATCTGAACGATTATTTTACTTAGTGTCATCCGTCAAGGGAGGTAGAAGAGTGGAAATTGATTCCAGTGCCGTTCGAACTTGCAACCTACCCTAGTATGGGGATACCTGTGGCTCAACCAAGGGAAGCAACTCCATCGGGTTTATCCACAGATGAATCAAGCAAGCAGTCGTTTGCTGGACTTTGCATCCAGGGTGACTCGTGGCACTGCTGCTTCACCTTGGCAGATGGGAGCTTCCATCTCCGTCTGATATTCCAGTGAACTGCACGATCCCAATTAACGTCCGACGACTTATCGGAATACGGCACCAATGGATTACAAGCCTACTCCGTTGACTTTTTAGTGATGATTACTTCGGGGGTTGGAACTTCGTCCATATTTCACTCGTCTTGTTGATTCCTATCTGACTAGTCGCGTGCATAGCTGATTCGGAGAGTAGTTCTTTGGTTACACTTTCTTGATGAGCAGCTTGGTGCGCACTCGCATTTTCCGACCAAAGTCTGGCGAGGTTATGATCCCTTTCCACAGAATTAGGGCCTTGTCGTTCTAGTGACACCCACGGACAGTGGGAAGTGTGAGAAACCATAAATGCCAAGGATTTCACCAACAGGATCTGTATTCAATCCCTAACCAGGTTTCTCCAGTACCTTCAGGTCCAGAACTGGCTAAAACAGTGAATGAAGTTGCGATCAAGTGTCTATGATTCTTTCCGTTTCATCCAGTGTTGAGAAATCAAAACGTCAGGTTTTCATCTCTTTAGTGTGTTAGTGTAGCGTGAAATGGTTTTGATATGGTTTCGAGGGGTTACTTCATATACAAGTTTGCTTCACTTAATCCCAAGAATTGAGGAAAGTCGAAGATCGGGTTGTATGTCACTGCGCTAGGAAATAGCTTGAATCGTTTACCAGTACTATATGAAATAAATGTGTTTTAATATGCGGTGCGTACTCCTTTTTGTGCATTAACCTGTTTTACGTTGGTGCGACGAATTTTCTGGTATTCTAGCCCCCACATGCCCCACCGTACACTGCTTAAATCTAAATCTGGGGCCATGATTCGCTGTAAGTTGTTCTCAAACGTGTTATCGTACAACCGGTTTTCTCGGGATATGTTAGTATGATAAAAATAGTTAATTAAGTTAATGAGGCGGCTGTTCGAAGTCGTAAAGTTTTAGTACCTGGGTACAGTATTATACATATGCAGATATATATAATACTGTACCCAGGTACTAAAACTTTACGACTTCGAACAGCCGCCTCATTAACTTAATTAACTATTTTTATCACATGATATTGACAACATTCATCTGTGCATCTGTTGCGATCCTACTGGCGGTTGTGCACTGGATAGTTTTGTTACGAACAGGTTGATATGAAAGGGAAATGGTGTGGTTCACCTGCTAAGAACATCGTCACAACGACGTGAATAGCCAGCGAGTCGTAACCTTGGCGTGCCATACTTTGTTACGTTAATGCACAACTAATTCGCTAATTTCACAGTACATACAGTGTTCGAACCGCAGTATCACTGAAGAAAACTTCTTCCCGTGGTGAGGTTTCTGTGATGTTTCTTGCTCAGAACTAACGGCCGCGGATTGGTATTGTCGCAGTAAATTGAAGAATTCATTGTAAGACAAGTCGATTTGATTGGACCCAACAGTTCCTACGATGAATACCCGACGTTTCTTGACTGTAGTTACGAATACTGTGCTTGTGACGGACTCCTCAACTGGGAATTTTTGACCATTATCAAGTGAACTTTTGAACTGAGAGGTTATGACTAATTGTCGTTAAGATCTCCAAAATCCTCAAAAGTTTCTAGTCACGGCAGCATATTGCAGTGCATTGTGAACAGTTATTGACGACTGCGGAGAATTCGATGCCAAACTCATCTGGTTTGTTCAACACTTGATCTGCTGAGTTTAACCATGGTAACCCGATAGGATCCTGTCAAATTCCACGAGGTATTCACGTAACTGCTGTTCACAGGAGGGTTCGGTTGGGGACCCTAGCCGCTTTGACAGTGTTTCTGCGCACGTGTTTGTTCTATAAGTGTGTAACTTGTCGATAAGAAGCCGTATGCATTAAAACCGTAACCATGCCATGCGAAGCCCAATATTTTGACGGGTCTTCAAGCTAGACAAGCCTTAGTCACAAATCAAGTTCCGAATTCATGCGTTTATTTCTCACTGCATGACTTCCAAGATCTTCCGTCGTTTATTCGAACCATTCGTTCTAATTATCGGTTACTGAACGCTTCCATTTACACATTTATTTCACCGCAGATGCCGTACTGGTTGATGGAGAGCAAATCTTCCTAGTGGCCAACGAAACGTGGGGTGCCTTACGTGGTTTAGAAAGTCTGAATCAGCTGATGTGGAGGACCTCAGACATGACACAAGTGAGTCGGGTATCTGTTCATTTTTCTGTCCGTTTAATTGACCTGTAGCCTCCTGTAGTATTTTTGACAATGTCGTGACTTTTCTAATTCACAATAAGCTTTTTATAAAAACACGTTAGGCAGAAAATTATTTCTGATGTGGGTGAGACAAACTCATTCTCAACTATATTATGAGCACGCACTGCCTTGCTGAAGTTACTTCCGGACTGCCGATAACCTTGTAATATTTCGTTGGTCGACAATCAGACTTACAACTGAGATGGGCCACACACTGATGTCTATCACCTCATACTTGTCCAGCGTACGAATAATCCGTTTCGACAGCGCGTCACAATGTAGACAGCTAGGGAGTCCAAGTCTGGGTGACCGAGACCTCGAGGGCGAATGCCAAAATAATGTGTTTGCTCAAAACTTCTTACCACCGGCATAGCATGTGTAGTAACGCGTGTTCAGCCATAATACCTTTTCGGTGCCTAGCTGGCATGCAACCCGAAGGAAGCACGAAGGCTTGGATACTGCCAAGTTGCCCAAGCCTGGACAGGGGAAGTCGAGAGGCAGAAGTCGGGTTCGAACCACAGATCTTCCAGTCGGTAAATTCGCGCTCTAAACACTGAGCCATCTCGCGTGTTATGTGAGTTCCAAATGAATAGTTGTACAAGCCTATAGCAAACGGAGCTGCACGCACTGCGACACAATCCAAGTGTTTGTAGTAAGTCCATTGCGGATAGCTTCGTTAGGCATTTCTATCTACTGCGTCGTATCGTTCTACGATGTTTGGCCGTTTTTCCCCAATTGTGACCTTTTCACGTCTGGCATTCATTCTATGGAACGATCGTTTAAAGCTAGTCTTAATTCGTGGTATGTTTTCTTTGCTTTCGTGTTAATTTTATATCTATGCGTTTTCACCCCTTGTTCTTACAGGTCTACATCAACCAGACGTACATCTTTGATAAACCTCGTTTTCCACATCGTGGCTTGTTGGTCGACACTTCGAGACACTTCATCAGCAAATCCATTCTGTTGGTAAACTTGGTAGGTTCTCCAACCACCTGGATTTTCCGCACTTTTCGATCTTGAATCGAATCTCGTTTGACTGTTTACACGGTTCACATGCAATCGACCCTCTCATGTTGTATGTGTAAACAAATAAGCATACTCCCAGTCAGTGTTCCGAACGACTGTATATTTGGATAGGATGCTGTAAGTACTGGCTTTTTATTGGCCAAGTGGCGTACAACCGCGTCCGATCTGGTTTGCAGGAATTGATTGACATTTTTGGGATAGTAATCATGCACGTTCCTGGCTGGTCGTACGGTTCGGCACCTATCTAGGGAACATTACCCGAAATGCTTGCTCCCAAGATGTAGCAATCAAACCCAATGTTCAAATTTTCTCTTACCTTAGTAGATGTGGCTAAGCAGTACGCAGCATTCCGAGTCCCGTGCCAAAAACGTATTTCAAACACAACCAGACCACGTAATCTCGTGACTGCTGAAGCTATCACAATCCAATTTCCTGCACCCGATCTCAAAATAGAAACTTGTTCAGTTCCAACCAGCCACCAACTCAGTTGGCTTGTGTTGTTCGCCTCCAATCTGACGACAACACTCCTTCCAACATTGTGTTAAGTGGGGTTTGTAGATGAGATCATTTATAAATGTGCAGTTCATGTTTGCGCAGGCGGTATTGTACGGCGGCGAGATTCGGCAACTTCGGTCGAAGGACCCAAGACATCTTCATGTCTTTGACTATCACCACCACCAAATCAAGTTCCGAATTCATGCGTTTATTTCTCACTGCATGACTTCCAAGATCTTCCGTCGTTTATTCGAACCATTCGTTCTAATTATCGGTTACTGAACGCTTCCATTTACACATTTATTTCACCGCAGATGCCGTACTGGTTGATGGAGAGCAAATCTTCCTAGTGGCCAACGAAACGTGGGGTGCCTTACGTGGTTTAGAAAGTCTGAATCAGCTGATGTGGAGGACCTCAGACATGACACAAGTGAGTCGGGTATCTGTTCATTTTTCTGTCCGTTTAATTGACCTGTAGCCTCCTGTAGTATTTTTGACAATGTCGTGACTTTTCTAATTCACAATAAGCTTTTTATAAAAACACGTTAGGCAGAAAATTATTTCTGATGTGGGTGAGACAAACTCATTCTCAACTATATTATGAGCACGCACTGCCTTGCTGAAGTTACTTCCGGACTGCCGATAACCTTGTAATATTTCGTTGGTCGACAATCAGACTTACAACTGAGATGGGCCACACACTGATGTCTATCACCTCATACTTGTCCAGCGTACGAATAATCCGTTTCGACAGCGCGTCACAATGTAGACAGCTAGGGAGTCCAAGTCTGGGTGACCGAGACCTCGAGGGCGAATGCCAAAATAATGTGTTTGCTCAAAACTTCTTACCACCGGCATAGCATGTGTAGTAACGCGTGTTCAGCCATAATACCTTTTCGGTGCCTAGCTGGCATGCAACCCGAAGGAAGCACGAAGGCTTGGATACTGCCAAGTTGCCCAAGCCTGGACAGGGGAAGTCGAGAGGCAGAAGTCGGGTTCGAACCACAGATCTTCCAGTCGGTAAATTCGCGCTCTAAACACTGAGCCATCTCGCGTGTTATGTGAGTTCCAAATGAATAGTTGTACAAGCCTATAGCAAACGGAGCTGCACGCACTGCGACACAATCCAAGTGTTTGTAGTAGTCCATTGCTGGATAGCTTCGTTTGGTTGCGAACGGACGTTTGGTGGTCTCTCTCATTTAAGGTCGTCGGATATTAACGAAAACTACTTGAGTGCCTACAATTCAGTTGGTATCAAACAGTCAGGCATTTCTATCTACTGCGTCGTATCGTTCTACGATGTTTGGCCGTTTTTCCCCAATTGTGACCTTTTCACGTCTGGCATTCATTCTATGGAACGATCGTTTAAAGCTAGTCTTAATTCGTGGTATGTTTTCTTTGCTTTCGTGTTAATTTTATATCTATGCGTTTTCACCCCTTGTTCTTACAGGTCTACATCAACCAGACGTACATCTTTGATAAACCTCGTTTTCCACATCGTGGCTTGTTGGTCGACACTTCGAGACACTTCATCAGCAAATCCATTCTGTTGGTAAACTTGGTAGGTTCTCCAACCACCTGGATTTTCCGCACTTTTCGATCTTGAATCGAATCTCGTTTGACTGTTTACACGGTTCACATGCAATCGACCCTCTCATGTTGTATGTGTAAACAAATAAGCATACTCCCAGTCAGTGTTCCGAACGACTGTATATTTGGATAGGATGCTGTAAGTACTGGCTTTTTATTGGCCAAGTGGCGTACAACCGCGTCCGATCTGGTTTGCAGGAATTGATTGACATTTTTGGGATAGTAATCATGCACGTTCCTGGCTGGTCGTACGGTTCGGCACCTATCTAGGGAACATTACCCGAAATGCTTGCTCCTAGGATGTAGCAATCAAACCCAATGTTCAAATTTTCTCTTACCTTAGTAGATGTGGCTAAGCAGTACGCAGCATTCCGAGTCCCGTGCCAAAAACGTATTTCAAACACAACCAGACCACGTAATCTCGTGACTGCTGAAGCTATCACAATCCAATTTCCTGCACCCGATCTCAAAATAGAAACTTGTTCAGTTCCAACCAGCCACCAACTCAGTTGGCTTGTGTTGTTCGCCTCCAATCTGACGACAACACTCCTTCCAACATTGTGTTAAGTGGGGTTTGTAGATGAGATCATTTATAAATGTGCAGTTCATGTTTGCGCAGGCGGTATTGTACGGCGGCGAGATTCGGCAACTTCGGTCGAAGGACCCAAGACATCTTCATGTCTTTGACTATCACCACCACCACCACCACATTCCATCCACAATGAACAACTTGCGTAATCCATCAATTTTCCGCACACCGGAGACCTTGTGTGGTATACATGCTGCCTCCGTTCATGCCGTAACTATTCACACGGACACCGGTTGACATGTGGTTAACCAGAAAACATTAGCGGAAACTCCGGTAGCAGTTGTCAAATTTTGGTTAGAACTGAAAAGCTGAAGTTGATCTGTCACCTGTATTGAAAGCTGCTACGAATAAGCGCATTTGTGCAATTGTACGACTTCGAAGTAATCCAGTTGAATTGTGTGACATCTGTTCAAGCTGTGCACTTGTGTGGTACGACGCTTCCAATCGGGTTCTTGTGTTCGGTGCATACGGTGCCGTTCTTCTAACGTTTCTGCTCCAGCTATCGGCCCGATACATCTGATCGACTTGTCTATCCAGGTCGTCTCAAGTTCCAGTTGGTGTAGCTTACCCTCCGGTCCTGTTCATTCATGAAACTAAACTAGCCGATATTGAATTAGGTCTGTTGGCTATTCAGAGTCTTACTGTGATGATGCATTCTACTCTTGAATTCATGATAATTCTATTTTCAGTTTTCTGTAGTTGACTAATCTCACGTCTCGGTTGCACAACACTGCCTCGTCTGTGTTAGTGTCATATGCATTAACCGCCCTTTGAACAGATCGCAGTCATATGTGTCACATCTGTCATTGGATTTTGGAGCTCCGAAGAGGCCATCTCTCAGCTCGGGTCGTGGACCATTGGTGATTTCTCTCCCTCTCGGGGAAGAGACCATAAAATACCATCTATATATACATCTATA